GGAATTTGTTGGTAACAGACTCACCTTACAAGATACATTAAGGAAACTTCTTCAGAATGAAAGTGACTTTAGATGGTACTCAAAAAAGCACCAGTAAAGGTAATGATGTAATTATAAAAAAGAGAGCACAAATGCATATTTCCTCTCTTAACTGATCTAAAAAGCAATTATATATATAAAACAATGTTTTGTGATAGTCCCAATCTATTGATAACCAATGTTGTGGCTGGACTGGCCCTTGTGGTTCTTATTATGACTGCAATATGCTCTCAACAATAAATATCAGGAAACTTTGGAAGAAAACATTTATTATTTGCAAGACCTGAAAATTACATGACACACTTAGAGCCACAGAGAGGGGCTGCAGGGAGAGAGACAGAGAGTGAAAGGTTCTACTTTTATTGGGGTTGTGGGTGGGGGGCCTAGGGTTTTGAGGGCTTACTCTTTACTGATGAAGTTAGAACATAAGAGCAGGAATTTAATTTGAAGGAAGAGAAAAAAACAAGCAGCCCAAATGGTCAGTTGTTGAAATCAATCAAGATCTCTAAAACAAAAAAGCCTTGGAAGAGGGAAGACCTGGCTCTTTATGTGGCTGGCAAGTGTTTGAAGTAGCCATCTTTGAAGTGGATGCCTTGGTTTAAGTCAGGCACTTGCATTATTAAAGAAGGAAAACTGTTAGGGCTTATACTATACAATACTTATAAAATTGTATACAATGTAACTGTATTGTTAGGCCTAGAACATATAGAAATGTACTATATTAAATAATAACAGCACAAAGATGAGTGGAGCAAAGCTATATTAGAATGAAGAAATGACACTAGATAGTAACTTGAATCCACAAGAAACAAAGAGAAATAGAAGTGGTAAATAAGAAGGTTAATATAAGAACCTCTATAGTATAAACTTTGCCTCTTCTTTATTCAGCATCTTTAGTTGACACAAAAATATATAAAGTTTGGGGCGCCTGGGTGGCTCAGTTGGTTGAGCGACTGCCTTAGGCTCAGGTCATGATCCTTGAGTCCGGGGATCGAGTCCCGCATCGGGCTCCCTGCTCAGCGGGGAGTCTGCTTCTCCCTCTGACCCTCTTCCCTCTCGTGCTTTCTATCTCTCATTCTCTCTCTCTCAAATAAATAAAATCTTTAAAAATATATATATAAAGTTTGGGTTCATGACATATATAGACATAATGTGTAGAACAACATGAAACAGAGGATGTGGAAATAAAGCTACTGACGGGTAACATTTCTGTATCTCACTGAAACTAAGTTAATACACAGGTAAAGTAGATTTTGATAACTTAAGATGGATATGGCAAGCTACACAGACGAGATTAAGACATTTCCAAGAAGACAGAAACTGAGAGTTCATCACCACTCTAGAACTGCCTTAAAAGAAACGCCAAAGGGAATTCAAGTTGAAATGAAAGGACACTAAGTAACAACATGAAATCTTAGGAAAGTATAAAACTCACTGGTAAAGATAAATAGTCAATTTCAGAATACTTTACTATTGCAAAGGTGGTGCATAAATCACATTTCAATATAAAAGTTAAAAAACAAAAAATATTAAAAATAACTAGCTATAATAATTTCTTGATACACAATATAAAAAGATGTAAAATGCATCATTAATATAAAATGGGGGAGGGCAAGGGTAAAAGCAGGGCATTTTTATGCAGCTGAAGTTATTAGCTTAAAATAGACTGTTACAAGATGTTTTATATAAGACTCATAGTAACCACATAGAAAAAACCTATAGTAGATACATGAGATAGAGAGAAGGAATCTATTTTTAAAAATCCTCAGGGGTGCCTGGCTGGCTCTTTCTGGGGGTCATGTGACTCTTAATCTTGGGGTCCTGAGTTCAAGCCCCACATTGTGGGTGGAACCTACTTAAAATAAAATAAAAACTCTCCCCCCACCTCCCTCTTACTCTTTCTTGCTATCTCTGTCTCATTTATTTATTTGAGAGAGAGTCGGGGAGGAGGGGCTGGATACAGAGGGAGATTGAGAAGAAGATTCTCCGCTGAGCAGAGAGTCCCAACATGGGACTCGATCCCAGGACACTGAGATCATGACCCAAGCGGAAAGCAGATGCTTAACCAACTAAGCCACCCAGGCACCCCAAATAAAATCTTTAAAAAAATAAAAATTTGAAAAACATAAAAAATCATCAAATCACAAAGGAAAACAGCAAAAGAGGAAGAAAGGAACAAAAGAACTACAATACAGTAAGAAAAAAATGACTGAAATGGCAATATTAAGATCTTATCTATCAATAATTACTTTAACTGTAAAGAATTAAATTCTTCAATCAAGGCCACCAAGTAGCTGACTGGACCAAAAAAAAAAAAAAAGAAGAAGAAGAAGAAAAATAAAAAAGATCCCGAAGTATGCTGTCTAGAAGAAAATCACTTTAGCTTTAGGACACACATAGGCTGAAAGTGAAAGGATAGAAAAAGATATTCTGGGGGCTCCTGGGTGGCTCAGTCGTTAGGCATCTGCCTTTGGCTCAGGTCATGATCCCAGGGTCCTGGGATCGAGCCCCACGTCGGGCTCCCTGCTCGGCGGAAAGTCTGCTTCTCCCTCTCCCACTCCCCCTGCTTGTGTTCCCTCTCTTGCTGTGTCTCGCTCTATCAAATAAATAAATAAAATCTTAAAAAAAAAAAAAAGAAAGAAAAAGATATTCTAGTATGCCTGGGTGGTTCAGTCAGCTAAGTGTCCTCCTTCAGCTCAGGTCATGATCTAGGGGTCCTAGGATTGAGCCCCACATCAGGCTTCCTGCTCAGCAGGGAGTCTGCTTCTCTCTCTCCATCTGCCCCTCCCCACTGCTTGTTCTCTCTCTCTCAAATAAATAAAATCTTTAAAAAAAAATAAAAAGACATTCTGTGCAAATGATAATCAAAATAGAGCAGAGGTGGTTATGCTTAAATCAATAAAAATAGACTTTTAGTCAAAATCTGTCAGGAGACAAGGGTCGCTATATAATAAGTGGTCAATTCAAAAAGAGGATATAACAATTATAAATATATATGCATTCAACATTAGAGCATTTAAATATATAAAGCAAATACTGACAGATCTGAAGGGAGAAGTAGAAAGCAATAAAAGGATAGTGGAGAACTTCAATATCCCACTTTCAACAATGGATAGCTCTTTCAGACAGAAAATCAATAAGGAAAAAGTGGACTTGAATAACACTTTAGACCAAATGGAACTAACGAACATACACAGAACATTCCATTCAACAGCAGCAGAATACACATTCTTCTCAACACACACAACATTCTCCAGGATACATCATATGTTACGCTGTAAGACAAGTCTTACCACGTTTAACACTGAAATCATATCAAGTAACTTTTTGACCCCAATAGTTTGAAACTACAAACAGAAGGAAAACTGGAAAATTCACAAATATGTGAAAATTATATATTTTCAGGAGTACATACTCCTGAACAACCAATGGATCAAAACAGAAACCAAAGAGTTTCTTAAGAAAAATGAAAATGGATATAAACGTATGGGATAAAACAAATGCAGTTCTAAGAGGGGAGTTTACAGGGGTAAAAGCCTACCTTAAGGAAAAAAAAAAAAACTTAAGTACCTAACTTCACACCTCAAGGAACTAGAAAAAAAGAACTAAGCCCAAAGTTTGCATAAGGAAGGAAATGATAAACCTAAGAGCAGATATAAATGAAAGTGACTTAAAAGACAATAGAAAAGATCAATAGAAACGTAGAGTTGGTAGGCGCCTGGGTGGCTCAGTCGTTAAACATCTGCCTTTGGCTCAGGTCATGATCCCAGAACAGAGCTCCACATTGGGCTCCCTGCTCGTCAGGAAGCCTGCTTCTCCCTCTCCCACTCCCCCTGCTTGTGTTCCCTCACTCACTGTCTCTCTTTCTGTTGAAAAATAAATAAAATCTTAAAACAAAACAAAAACAAAAAACTAAGAGTCAGTCCTTTTTAAAGAAAAAGTTGAAAAACTTTTAGCTTGTCTGACTTAACCAAAAACAGAGACAGAGAAGATTCAAATAAATATTATAAACAAAAGGAGAGAGTTCCAATATTGCAGAGCAGGCAATGAAGGATGAGGAGCAGAAAGGCAGTAAGTTTATAGTCAGTACAATGTTTATAAATCCCTGGATAATATTGAAAATAAATGAAAGAGGGCTAAATTTGGACCAATGATGAGAATTTCATGAATGAAAGATTATAACTGGGGCACCTGGGTGGCTCAGTCAATTAAGCATCTGCCTTCAGCTCAGGTCATGATCCCAGGGTCCTGGGATCGAGCCCCCCATCAGGCTCCCTGCTGAGCCTGCTTCTCCCTCTCCCTCTGTCTGCCACTCTCCCTGCTTGTGCTCTCTCTGCCTGTCAAATAAATAAAATCTTAAAAAAAATTATAATTAATCTACTTTCATCTGAAGAATTTTTACAAAGTTAATCCCTGGAAGAATACAAAAGAATTGACAGCTGTGGTTCACCCTGTGTAAGTAAAGCAGGTGGCTATAGAACCAGGTATTAAGGAAGCTTTAATTTTTACTTTACTTGCTTGATAACTTCTGAATTTTGTAGCATGTGCTTTTATTGCCTAATCCTTTTAATTAAAAAAATCAATGTAATATCAAAACATACATACACTCTCATGGTTGGTAATCTACCCTCCACAATGGAAATAGAAGAATGACAATGTAAGAATGTTTATTGTATGACCATTTGTGATGGAAATAGAAACAACTGAATGTCCACAGTAGGAAATGGCTTAAAATATAGATATATATCCCATACTAGAAATATTCTGAGGCTTTAAAAATAATGAGTTAGATCTTTATGTATTCACCTGGGAAAATGTTCTCAATTTGTGCAAAAAGAAATTGCCATGAAATATGTCATTATAGGTGGTATAACCTTCCACACACATGCAATAAACCCTCCATATTTGCAGGTATGTTTGAGCAGGAAGGAACAACACGCACATATTGGCAATCTCAGGGATTTGTGAAAGGGGAAGAAATTGTTTTCATTTTATTTCTGCCACATTTCACTAGTTTCAGTAAAAACACTGTTTTATAAAATTTATCTCCAATACTGGGTGTTATAACAATCCAGAAACAGCACTGGAACCAGAGCAATTAAAAAATTTTACCTGTTAATTACTTTTCCATTTTCCCACTTGAAGTTTTTTTTGTCCCAAGGATTACTGAAATAAATCAGTATTAATGAAATTCAGTATTTTACCAACTTTTACCTTGAAGACAAAAAGGAAAACCTGTATTTCTAAAAATATTATCATGATGCTAGACTAGGATGGGGAGAGAGGAGAGGAAATCTTACTGGCATCTCAACAGTATGAAGTGCCTGATGTAGATTACATTGCAAGCCATGATTAAAGGCCTTTCCACACTCATAAGGTTTCTTCCCAGAATGAATTCTCTGATGGTGTGAGAAGCTTGAATGATAGCTAAAGGCCTTCCCACATTCCTTACATTCATAGGGCTTCTCACCAGTATGAATTCTCTGATGTTGAATAAGGTGTGAATGAAGTCTAAAGGCCTTACCACATATCATACATTCATGAGGTTTCTCACCGGTATGAATTCTCTGATGTCTTTTGAGGTGTGAACACTGTCTAAAAGTCTTCCCGCATTCCTTGCACTCATAGGGTTTCTCACCAGTATGAATCCTCCGATGTAGAGTAAGTTGTAAGCCATCACAAAAGGCCTTCCCACATTCATTACATTCATAAGGTTTTTTGCCAGAATGAATTTTCTGATGGTGAGAGAAGCTTGAGTGATAGCTAAAGGCCTTTCCACATTCTCTACACTTGTAGGGTTTCTCACCAGTATGAATTCTCTGATGTATGGTAAGGTGTGAGCGATGCCTAAAAGTCTTTCCACATTCTTTACATTCATAGGGTTTCTCACCAGTATGGAGTCGAAGATGTTCAGTAAGTTGAAAGCCACGAATAAAAGCCTTCCCACATTGCTTACATTCATAAGGTTTTTCACCAGTATGAAGTCTCTGATGTTGAGTTAGCTGTGATCGCTGCCTAAAGGCCTTCCCACATTCCTTACATTCATAGGGTTTTTCACCAGTGTGAATTCTCTGATGCAGAATAAGTTCTGAGCCGTAATTAAAGGCCTTTCCACATTCTTTACATTCATAGCGTTTTTCACCATTATGGATTCTCAGGTGTTGTTTAAGTTGTGAACAATGAATAAAAGCCCTCCAACATTCCTTACATTCATTGCACTTGCTACTATTTTGAATTCTCTGTTTAGTAAGATATGATGTATTAATAGTTTCTGCACATTCCTTACATTCAGAAAGTTTTTCTTTTGAATGAGTTCTTTTGTGATGACTAAAAAATAAATGGTAACTGAAGATTTTTCTACATTCTCTACATTCAAAAATTTTCTCTCTATTATAAAATTCCTGAGTGAGTAATGCATGTTGGTTAAATATAGGCATGTGTTCATGGTTGATAACAAATTGCCTGAAATAGCCCTCCTGTTCCTGTTGTGTCTCAAACTGACTACTGCATTCCCAAATATCTCTGAAAATGGACTTCTCAGGATTATGAGTTTTAAATTGTTCCATGATAGCCCATCGGGATGGCTCTGTCTCATAAATGTCTCTTTTTGGAGATAACTTCTTGGCCTCACACCTGGACATCAAGTCTGAAAGATAAGAAACACATTTTAATTGCTGGCTTTGTGCTAGAAAACAAATAAAATATCTATGGTATAAAAGAGAGATAACTGAAAAATAATTCACATAAGAGATGAAAGGCTTGGAGCACTCTTAAATACCATCATGCAACTGAATGAAAAAAGGATAAGGAGAACATAGAGAAACGAGAGCTCATAGGAGAAAGTAAGGGAGTTAATTAACAAGTCAAGTCAGTGGTTCTGAAATTTTTTTTGAAGATTTTATTTTTAGGCAATCTCTACACCCAATATGGGGCTCGAACCCACAACCCTGAGACCAAGAGTCAAACACTCAACCAACTGAGCCAGCCAAGCGCCCCAATGGTTCTGAAATTTTGATCTACCTCAGAATTTGTTGCAATTATGGATGTTTAGGAAACATTCTAGATCAAATGAATCAGTATCTACCAGTCAGTTTTAGAATGAGATCAATTGAATTAGAATCTACAAGTATGTTTACACTTTCCACCAGGCCAAAGGATTAAGATATGGAGACTACTAATTACCCCCAAATGTATATTGTATATTGATTGAACCCATGGTTTTTAGTTGAGAATGCTGTCCAATATAAAACACTGCATTTCCCAGGCTCTTTTGCAGAATATGCGATGTAACTGAATTCTGCCTTAAAAAATGCATAAGTATTATATAGTAGCTTCTGAGATGTTAAAAGCCAGCTGGCCCCTGTCCTATAACCTTTATTCTTCCATTTCCTCAGACTGCAATGTGGATGGTGGTGTCATGTCACATAATGGTTTTGCAGAGCAGAACTTCCACTCCAGCCTGGACTTTAATGCAAGAGAAAAGTAATCTTCTATATAGTTTAAGCCATTATTATTTTTGAGTTTCTGTCACATGCAGCCAAACCTATAACCAAATTAAACTAGCTTCCTATTGAACTGAAATTTAAAAATCCAATTCTTTATTATGAGAACACAAGACCCGCTGTGTACTTATAAGGCCTCATTTAGGGTCCATTTCCATTTTATTGGTGTGCTACAACACTAACCTCCTTTCAACAATTAGGACATTCCAAAGTCTTTCTTATCTTAGAGCTTTTCAGAGGCTGTTTCAGAAGAAAAAGTTTAAGACTGACAGCTGTATAAAGCATCCTATTCTAACACAATTTATTTTTCCATTTTCCTAGTGATGGACGTTTGGGTTGTTTTCAACTGTTGGCTATTATGATTAGTACTGCTATGAACATTCCTGTACATTTCTTTAGGTGGAAATAGGACTCCTTTCTGCTAAATGTATACATTTAGGAGTGAAACTGTTGCATCATGGGATATGCATTTGTTCAGAGTTCACTGACACTTTCCAATAGTTTCCTCATTTTCTCACCAAATTGTAAGAGTTCCAGTTCCTCACATCCTCACCAACACTTGTTATTGTCAATCTTACATAACATATCTTAGCAGATATGTTATGATACTGCATTGTGGTTTAATTTGCAATTTCCCTGATGACAAGTGAGGTTGAGCACTTTTTCATATGTTTATTGGCCAACTGGATATCTTCTTTATTAAACTGCCAATTCAGGTCTTTTGTCCACTCCAACTGATTTTGTGTGTGTGATAAAATCCATATAACATAAAACCTACCAGTTTAAACATGTGGAAGTATACCACTCAGTAACTTTTAATATATTCTCAGTGTTGTTCAACCATCAGATCACTATCTAATTCCAGAACATTCTCATCATGCCAAAAAGAAACCACATATCCACAGTCATTTCCTCTTCCCCTCAGCTCCTGGCAACCACTAATCTGCTTTGCATCTCTATAAATTTGTCTATTCTGGAAATTTCATACAAATGGAATCATACAATATGTAACCTTTTGTGTCTTTTTTCACTGACTACACTGTTTTCAAGGATCAACCCTTTTGTAATATGTATCAGTACTTCATTTCTTTTTTAATGGCTGAGTAATATTCCATTGTACAAATATACCATTCATTATTTATCCATTCATCAGTCGAGTGTCATTTGGGTAGTTCCTGGGTTGTACTGTTCTTTTTTCTTTGTAAGAATTCTTAATGTATTCTGAATATAACCAACATATTGCAAATATCTTACTCTGGGCCTGGCATTTTCACTCTCTTAATGTTTTGATGAATAGAAGTTCTTAATTTTAAGGCAGTCTAATCCCAAGGTCATGAAAATATACTCATATTGTTTTCTATTTTGCCTTTCATATTTAGACCTACAACCTACCTAAATTAGATTTTAAATTTTTTAAAGATTTTATTTATTCATTTGAGACACAGAGATAGAGAGAGCATGAGCAGGGAGACAGAGGGAGAAGGAGAAGCAGGCTCCCCACTGAGCCAGGAGCCCGATGTGGGGCTCGATCCCAGGACCCTGGGATCATGACCTGAGCCGAAGGCAGACGCTTAACCATCTGAGCCACCCAGGTGCCCCACCTAAATTAGATTTTATGATGTGAGATAGAACTCAAGATACCTAGCTTCTGATGTAGTTATCCAATTGGCTCAATAAGATTTTACTTATTTGACAGAGAGAGAGAATGAGCACAAGCAGGGGGAGCAGCAGAGGGAGAGGGAGAAGCAGGCTCTCTGCTGAGCAGGGAGCCTGATGCAGGGCTTGATCCTAGGACCCTGGGATCATGACCCAAGCCAAAGGGAGACCTTTAACCCCTTGGTTTTTCATAGTAAACATCCTAATGGATGTGAAGTGAGATTTCATTGTGGTTTTGATTTGCATTTCCCTAATGGCTAGTAATGTTAAGCATCTTCTCATGTGCTTACTGGCTACTTGTATATCTTCTTTGGAGAAATCTGTATTAAAAATCCTTTCCCCCTTTTTTAAATTGAGCTGCTTGGTTTCTTTGATATTGAGTTGTAGGACTTCTTTATATATTCTGGATATTAACCCTTTGTCAGTTATATGATCTATAAATGTTTTCTCCTATTCCAGAGGTTGCCTTTTCACTCTACTGTGTACTCTTATGTATATACTTCTAGCTTTTATCTTGTATTCAATACAAATCTAATAAAATTCCTACAATGTTGTTTGAAGAACTTGAAAAACTAATGCAAAAATATATTTGGAAAAAACAAACATTTAAGAATAGCCAGAACACTACTGAAAAAGATCAGAGTCAGAGAATTTACCCTGCCTATGATAAAGACATCATAAAGACTTAAAGATGAAGACAATGTACTATTCATATAGGGCCTGACTCATGGAAAAACCAGAAGCAGACCCACATAGAAAGCACTACAGATGCAGTGATGAAAGAATAATTTAATAAATGATATTAAACAACTAGCTATAGATATAAAAAAATTAACTCTGGTTCCCTACCATACACCATAAATACATAAACTCTAACTGCATTAAAGACCTACAAGTTAAAGGAAAAACTGTAAAGCTTATGGGAAAAAATATGGATATATATAAAGCACACCTAAAAGTAGAATGGATTTCTCAAAGAAGACACAAACAGGCTAACTAGAAAAAAGATAAAGCCAAAAGAAAAATGGGCAAAAGATCTGTTTAAACATTTCACAGAAGGAGAAACACTAATGCTAAATAATCATATGCAAAGTTGCTCAAACTCACTAGAAATCAAGGACAGTCAAATTAAGATATAATGAGATACCATTTCATACTCATGAGATTGGTAAAACTTAAAATATCTAAGAATTTCACTCATTGTTAAGATGTTGAACCACCAAAATTATTAAACATTGCAGTGGTGATGTAAATTACTATCAACACTCAGGAAAACAATCTGGTGTAACATAAAGTTGAAGATGAACATGTTCTATGATCCATCAATTCCAATAGTACATAGCCTGGAGAAAATCTTGTATTATGTGCTTCAGGAGACATGTAAGAATATTCATTGCACCATTGTGCATACTAGCAAAAAATTACAAACCCAAATTATAACAACCAGAAATTTGTGGAATGAAATATTATACATCTATGAAAATGAACTCAGGCATAAAACAATATGGAAAAATTATAAACCATGTGGTACAAAATAACCAAATCACAAAAAACACCTCATTATCATTTTTATAAACTTAAAAATAAGCAAAACACAACAAATAGTATTTAAGGGCATATGCAAGTGTCATAAGCTATTTTTAAAAATGGAATAATCATAATACAATTCAAGATAATGGTTACCTCTAGAGATGTAGCAGGGGAAGGGACCAGGGAAAAGCATACTGGTAGCTTGCATGGCATTGGTCATGTAACAATTCCTAACTAAATCACCAGATAGACTCCTCAGATTAAATAAAACATTCCATTCTCTCTGGAATACATTATGACAGGACCCAGCAAGATCAGTGGTACTAGTTACTTGGCTACACGCATCCAAGACGATCCCAACAACCAAGTTGTACGTCTGCCAGAAGTCAGCTGTATTTGTTCCCCTCCCTGTTTATACCAATAGATGAAATGAATATGAAAACTGTTTCAGTAAACTAACTGTTTTGGAAAGATCACATAATGGCAATCATTTAAGTAAAAGCAAAAAAAAAAAATGCTACAAGAAAAAGACTGGTGATGGTGACATAAAAATGAAGTACTCCACACACACAGTCTTTAGGATCTTCCCCTTCTTTAAAGAAATCAAAGCAAATACAATAGAAAATGCACAGTCTAAAGTTCATTTTTAAACATTTTTTTAAAGACTTTATTTATTTTAGAGAGAGAGAACACATGTGGAGGGAGGAGCAGAGGGAGGAGAGGGAGAGAATCTCAAGCAGACTTCGCCTTGAGTTTGGAGCCTGATGAGGGGCTTGATCTCAAGACCCTGGGATCATGACCTGAGTCAAAACCAAGAGTCAGACATTTAACCAACTGAGCCACCCAGGCACCCCTAAAGTTCATTTTTAAAGGAAAATTTAAAATCTCTATCACAAAGATTGTGTGGACTCCCTCTTCCCTGCTTCTACCTTATATAAAACCAAAAACCCTGGAAATT